GATAACGTCTTTACCTGAATTATAATTTAAACTAGCAAACCAGTGAACCAAATGTTCACCAAAACCTGATTTCTCGAAAACCGGAAGTGCTACGTTACTCAAATCCGGTTTGTTGTCTTATCAGACTATTCTTAACTTATAACTTAAATATTCTCTTTATCTATCTCTTACGGTTTGGCCGCTGACACAGCACCACAGACAGACGGACGGACTTGTCTAATAGATAAGAGATTTGCTGTAATAATAATCGTATAGATTTGGTTGTCTCAATGATTTCCAGGAATACTTTTAATTGGTTATTTTTAAAATGTAAAGTACCGAGAGTTCAATTAGATGCACAATCATCTGTGGGTCACGTGTATGCGATAACCTCATGTGTGCATAAAAAAACTAAGTATAGATTTTCTTTAATCAGAATATTTTAATCGTTTCTCTTATGCGCAATAGTCAAAGTAATATCATTAACCTATTAACTTCTCCATCGCTGGGGCACAGACCTTCCCTATGGATGGAATAGAGAGATTGGGCCATGACCCACCATGCGGGTAAGTGCGGCTAATCGCACACCTCTTTTTTGAAGTGAAACTTCTTTTTAAAGCGTCACACGACTATATATATATATATATATACGTAGTCAGGTCATAAATTCTGTCACATGTTTAATATAAAAAAAAATAAACAAGTTTATTCATTATGTAAACATTTCTATACCAAAATGAACTTAACAAAACATAGATTCTTATGACAATAAAGTTTATTCAAAATGACCTCCGTGATTTTGAATACAGGCCTTCAATCTGCGCGGCCAGTCGTTTATCGCAGCACGAACGAGGTCTATGTCAATATACAAATTGGGATGAGGCTTTGAGCATGCTTTTTCCTCCAAGTGTTGCCATATCTTGTAATCTAACGGACTCAAATCTGGACTGGCGGAGAGCCAGTCTTCGTGCCGGATGAAGTCAATTTCACAGTCGATTTTCAGTCTTGTGTGCTCTTCGCTCTATGAGCTGGCGCCGAATCTTGTTGGAATACCCTGTGCCTGTTATTGAACATGGTATGAGAAACAGGTTCCACAAGGTTCGTCAGGACTGTATTTTGTTACACAACTGCATTCGTTTTTACACCTTTCTCACAAAAAAGTACCTCTGTTAAGCCCCAATAAGAAACTCCCAACCATACCATGAGCGAGGATGGAAAATGACCTCGTTGGACACGCGGAATACGTTGCTCGCTTCTTCACTACTGTGTGCGTACACCTTATCATTTTGTTTGTTGTAGCTCTCTTCTACGGTAAAATTTTTGCATCCGAAAAAAGAATTTCTCGATATTTTTTTCCCGCGTACCGCTTCAACAAAGCGCGGCATCTCTTCAGCCTCAGGTCCATTAGACGAGCATTCAAACGATGTCCTGTTTTTCTTCGATATGCCCGAAGCCCTAAGTCTTCATTTAACACCCTTTTCACCGTGGTTCTGCTTAACCCCATCTGAAGGGCCAACAGTTTCTGCTTACATTTGGGATTTCTTTGAATTCGCGCCTTCACAGCTTTTATCACTGCTGGAGTCCTAACAGACCGAGGGCGACCACTTCTTGACCTGTCATCTACACTAGAGTCTTCATTGTATCGTTTGATAGTACGATAAACGAATCTTTTGGTTATATTCAAATTTTTCAGTGAATTGGCGCGTAACCGCAACGATGCAACGCAATAACTGCAACACGGTCTTCTTTAAGCGTCCACACCATATTTAAAAAGGACTAAAATTCTAAAAAGTATACCACATTTTGAAATTCGACATGAACAATTCGAAATTCGAATTCAATAAACTTTTTTGTGGCCAGCATTCTAAAAGAAAAGTTTTTACTGTGTGACAATACTTATGACTTGACTGTGTATATATGAGTGATTTGTGCACCTGATTCCCCTATGCCTTATGCACCTACTGTTATAGTGTTAGTTTATTTAAGAAAAGAAGTTTCACTTCAGATGTGTGGTCCATTTTTTTCGTAAAGCTGTATTAAGTTGCATTCGATCTCAATCTTACGCGAGGGGCACTAGTCCCACACAATAAGCACGCACATAAGTAACAGCTGTTTTGTTGTAAATGTAACTCGGGATCGCCGGCAGTGTATGCTAAGTGCCGACCCCTGTCACTTAAGACCGTTCTAACCGGCATAACTGTCTCAATAAAAAAAAATTGTCCGCTCATATTTTATGTAAACAAATGACGGTAGCCAACGCGACTGCGCAGTTGTAAGCGACTGTAGGAAACTGCCGTTTCACATTGCGGAATTTGCGCTTGCTATCTCATAGGTTTTCTTATTAAATGGAGCAATGTAAGATGTTTGTTTAATATTCTTCGTCTGTGTTAGGGGGTGTGGGTGAAAGATCGTCCAGGGGAATGTTTACAGCCAACAGCGTGAGATTTACGCAGACACTTGGCTGGTAGTTGCCATTTGGTTAGTTTATCGCAGCTACAGCACAATAACACCGTTCATTGATGTTGTTTTCATGTTAAGAGGGGAGACGGGCAATGGTTTTTACATACAAACGTTCTCGACTGATTCCTCTGTAATTTTTATCACTAAAGTATTGATTTTCATACATAAAATGTAATTTTACTCATTCTATGCTCCTATGGCTTTTGTTTCAAAGAAACTATAAGCCCTCGAAAAAGATGAAAAACAAACAAATTTTTATCACTACAAAAGAGGTAAAATTCAACAAATTTTTATCACTACAAAAGACCTCGAAAAGGTCAAAAATAAACAAATTTTTATCACTACAAAAGACGTCTAGTGTAGAGATTTAATAAGCATTAGAAAATCAAAACAAAGAGGTATAATATAATTACTTATTATTCTTTGTGTAAAATTTCTTTTACCGTTTGCGAGTGTGAAATGTCATTGTCAAATGTGTACTGATTTTTAGTTCTCGTTACGTGCTTTGTGCCGCTGCTGTTCAAGTTTCCATACAAAATTTGACATTGACATTTCGGTTTGCAAACTATTCGAATACGATAATGGTTCATGCTAGGGGTAGTGAAGAGGTGACACTAAATAAAAGTGTGTAGAAGAAGACTTTTTTGCAACAGTTTTTTTTAAATTTCTTGAGGTCAATGCCCGTATTTCCTAGTATCCCGGCTAACCTGACTTCCCATAAAGAGCAGGTAGTTCGCGTGCATTCCCCGCGATTCACGGTCCCGAAGCTTTCAGGGCAGGCCGGGATGCAGGCAGGTCACGCGGCGGGTCAATACGGGATGCACCGCAGCTTCCAATAGCTGTCGATGCTGAGAGATTCTTTGTACGGATGCCGCCAGGGCTGGTAGTTATATACCTTTTTGCACAGCAATAAATGAAGATTATATAATCTATTCTTGCCGCGATGCATGGATCAATGATATATTTGTTTCTTAGGTTTTCACGCACATCACTAATTTTATCTCCTGTATAATGAGTTCCCAAGCTGGTGGTATATACCAACCATCCACCAGCTTGGGAACCCATTATACAGGAGATAAAATTCCAACCCCGAACACACACTGCAAGACCAACAGATACTATTAGTTCTTTTTGTTTGCATAATTTAACATAAGAAGGAGATAGAGAGCCTCTCTTGAGTTTGTTTCGCCAGTTTTTCTCAGAAAGGTCTCCCAATTTTGGAACCGGTGGTAGTTTACGGTAGTTAGGGTCAAATAAATAAATTCAAAATTACAAAAAAGATTTTTAAATAAAGTACTTTATTAACTAAATTAAGTAATAAATTCATACATAGACAATAAAACTTTAAAAATCGAACAATGAAATAACCGAACGCTCAATAAAAGTCTTTCGAAGGTAGCTCGACAAAATTAAATAAAAAATTGATTCCGACGACGCAGCCTGTAAAGGCTGCGAAACGTCAATAAATAAATAAAGTTTCGTGCATTAACCTATAACCAATCCGCACTGGGCCCGCGTGGTGGGTCATGGCCCAATCTCCCTATTCCATCCATAGGGAAGGCCTGTGCCACAGCAGTGGGGACATTAATAGGCTGATGATGATGATGATGATGATGATGAACGGGGACAGGCTCTAACTGTGAATATTTATCACATTGTGTGATACTTTTTAAAGAGTCTTTTAACTTAAAATATATTTCTTTATTAAATACAATTATGAATTCTGTGCATTATTTTATTAAAAAATATCTGAGGTAATACTGATTTATTTAATAAATAAAACTAGTTTTTACGGGTTAATGCACGAAACTTTATTTATTTATTCTGACGACGATAAAAGTTTTATTCTGACGACGCAGCCTGTAAAGGCTACGAAACGTCAATAAATAAATAAAGTTTCGTGCATTAACCCGTAAAAACTAGTTTTATTTAATGACTGATTTATTTATTTGTAGGTATAAAGCAACACAATTGAATCACAACTATATTCTAACACACTGACAGCCCTGCTCGAAATTGCTTTCGGAATATCAAAATATTCATCGTAGTATCATATAAAAGACTGCACGTAAACTCGGAAGGAATATAATAATAATAATAATAATAAATGAACCGACCCTAAATGTTCAATACAATTTCAGAATAATACACTTACGTAACTCAAAACTTTGTAAAGATTTTTAAATTCAAATCATATTCAGTTATGCAATACTTGATATGGGAAACAAGTTGATTCAATAGTTATGATTTTATTTATTTTTTAAGCATTTAACTGCTAGATGTTTAAATCTAAAGAAAAGTTTACTAGAAAAAAATCTTCGCTATCCGGGCGAATGCACTGACCATTATGCTACCACGGCCCTATTAGCCGCGTCGAAATTTTCCTAGCCTTAAGCTGCAAGGCAGCGCCATCTCTTCGCATTGTAGGCAACCCACAATGTCAAACGAATACTTTTTCAAGTATTAAACATTTGAAAGAAGAAATAACAATTATAGTTTTGATTTTATTTATTTTTTAAGCATTTAACTGCCAGAAGTTTTCAAGTGTTTTTTTCTTTCAGGGCATAGAGAAGCCGTTTGACCGCGTGGTGCGAGCGAACATCGGCGACTGCCACGCCCTGGGGCAGCCTCCCATCACCTTCATAAGACAGGTCAGTAAAAACATTACTAAAAGCCCAATCAAAATGCAGGTGAACAATTAATGTATATTTAATTTCACATTATGTAATGAAAGGTGACTTCATGAATCATCCCTGAAGTCATTTTTCAACTTGACGATTCTGTAAATAATAAAACAAGGATAAAAAAAGCAGCCCTCGCTGAGTTTCTTGCCGGTTCTTCTCAGTACAAGGTCTTCCGCCGTAGATTTACGAACCGATGACGTAGCTTCTAGACATTCATGAGTGCTTGTAACAGCCTAAACTGAATAAATGATTATGATTGTTAACTAAAGTGATTAATAAGACAAGTCATTTTGACGACCACCGTGACCGAGTGGTTAGTACGCCGGGTTTCATGGTGTCGCCGACTCGAGTGGTCCCGGGTTCGATTCCCGGTGGGGGCAGATGTTTGTGTGATGGATACGAACATTTGTACTCCAGTCATGGATGTTTGATATGCATTTCTATATAAATATACTTATATATGTACAATACATGTATTCTATCCGTTACCCTAGTATACCACAACACAAGCTTAATAGTGCTTACTTTGGTGCTAGGTTAATTGGTGTGAGTGTTGGAAATATTTATTTATTTATTTATTTATGAGGGCTAGTCACACTGCGACCTAGACAATCTAAAATCAACACATAAAGACAAACAAAGAAGTGATATTTTTTGTTTTATGATTTAATCTACATTCCAACTCGAACTGAAAAGATTATTCCACAATACCAACATCGAACAATGGAGTTCAATACATAAAACAGATCCTGTATTTTCTCCAGAAGCTCTATATAATAAATGAGGGATATAAAATATATATTGTGCCGTGATTTCCCGCAGATTTTCCTTTAAGCCAGTAAAGCCGGGGAGTACAGCTTCGGTGCTTGCTAAAAATATCTTTCTCAAACAAATTGTTATCAATAGGAAATCCCTTTTAATAAGCTTTTGAGGGTCAATTGGGCTTCAATTTACCGGGGGCCATTTTAACTCATGGGAAATTTTATTCGTAGATTTATCAGCTTTGGAGAAATCAGAATGTAGAATTGTCCAAAATATCTTTTGATATATTCTTTTAGGATTCTTACCTATCTATCTATGAAGAAAAATAATTTATATTCGAACACGAGAAATGGATGCCGGTAAGCGACCAGCCTATCACGTAAATGCAAATTATTATACGTATTTATAATTGATAAACCTTAATACCACAAGAAATTCAGACATGCGTTCAACACGAGTTAGAAGAAAAATTACATATAACATTTTGTAATTTATAAAACTCAAAGGTGACTAACTGACATAGTAATCTATCAACGCACAGCCCAAACCACTGGACGGATCGGGCTGAAATTTGGCTTGCAGGTAGATGTTATGACGTAGGCATCCGCTAAGAAAGGATTTTGATCAGTTCTACCCCCAAGGGGATAAAATAGGGAATGAAAGTTTGTATGAAACTTTGTCAATTTTAAACTGATCGGGCTGAGACTTTGCATGCAGGTATAAGAATAATCATAGATGAATGTCATTGTGTATAATACAAGCCTGAGAACAAAAACTGTAGTCTACACTTCAGCTCTACACCGAAGCGAAGCGAGGGCGGGCCGCTAGTAAAACATAAACTGCTAAATGTTTAAGTCTGAAACATGGACGGACTGAACTTTTTTCTAGTAAAATATTCTACATGTGTGCAAGTTTAGTATTGTACCTAAGGACAATTTTTCGCACGTTGCTTTTGCTTGTTGAAACTAAGAATCGTACTATACAGCGCACTCTTAAAACCATAAAGGTCCTTTACTTTCGGGCGTTAAATATGGCCTTTGCTTGTTGTTGTCAGGTGGTGGCACTGGCTGCCTGCCCAGAGCTGGCATCCTCCCCCGACATACCTGCTGACGTCAAAGAGCGTGTGCGAGAGATACTGGGCGATTGCACGTGAGTTAAATCATTTAATATATTAACACACAAGGAAGAACCTCATTTTTACCCGACTGCGCAATGCAAGAGCGCGAAGAGCGACGCGCAGACAGGGTATAGTGTTTAACAGTCTATATATGTATGTTTGTTCCTTTGTGGCTCACTAGAGACCAAACGCGTGGACTGATTTTGATGATTTATACATCAATCGATTCGATTTTTATTGAAAAAATTTGATTCATCCTTGAATATCTAATGGGTCCCGACTGTTAAAGTAGCTTTGTTCCTTACTTAACAGAATTATAGACTACTGGACTTGTTTTTTTCTTTTCAGTTTTTATTTGAAGTAATATTTAAGCAGTCGGGTTTTTGATTTTTAATACTATGTATAGTCCCGCCCATGAATGTCATTTTCAAAAAGTGCTCTTTTGTCTGGTTCGTAATATTTCTGAAGCACTTCAATCTTCGAGTCGATTTGTGGGATGTGTGAGACCCGACTTGTGGGACGATAAGTGTACTTGAGTTATTTAAGTTTCTATTTTTTGTTGCGTAGTCAAAATGATGAAAAAGAAACGTACGCATTAATAATATATTTCTGTCCGTTACCTACGTACGTTGCTTTTCAGTACTGACTTTGTAGTTAGGCTAAATAGGCTCACTGAAATGAGTGTTAAAAAAAATGTGTGTGTCAGCTCCGACGCACGACTGGAGTTTACTCCTTAAGTTCGATAGTCTAACCAGACGCAAAGAGAGTTCATTTAACTTTAAAAAGATTGATACTGTATGAAAGGGTAAATTAACAAATTAATGAAAGTAATATACATACATTTCATATACATTTATTATAACAAATCGACGAAATATTTTTACATTAAACTTTTTACAATAGTCAATTTCAGATGTGCATAAATAAAGGTACGCTACGATACTGTGCTACGGTGTAGTACTACGGCTGCTACAGCGTAGACAGTAAAAACCTAACGAGGTCATTCATCGATAGATTTCACTCCTAACATTTTTCTCATACCGGGCCCCTTAGCAAATCGATTCTTAAGGAGTAAACTCCAAAAAATTTTATTTATTTATCAAATGTATTCTCAGCCGCGGCTCAGTGGGCGCGTACTCTCCATCTCTGGGCCTGCGTGTTGTACGCGACCGAGTCGCTTCGTACATCCGAGCGCGTGACGGCGGCGTACCCGCCTCACCAGACGATGTGGTCCTGGGCGCCGGCGCCTCTGACGTCATCAAGACGGTGCTCACATTGTTCGCGGGAGACCAGGGAGGGAAGCCACCAGGTGAGTGACGTCATGTCGCGGAAGAATCCCTAACGGGGACCCCGCGGCTTCGCATGGAGCAGCGTTGAAGGTATTCGCAGAGTTTTTTAGCGGATATTATACCGTAAAGCGCCCATAAGAGTTACGGGGTCCTGAGTGGGCAGCCACTGTGGGGGTCCGTAAGGCTTGCGGGAGCCAGGTGTGTGAGGTCCGTTCGGCGGTGTGCCTCTTAAAGGCGCCGTCGTCTGTAAAAAGATTTTTTGCCTGAGTATTAAAAAAAAAGGTGAGTGACGTCATGAAGTGGCAGCGACACTGCGATCCCGTGACGTCGACGGGAGTCCGACGTCAACAAGACAGTGGTTAAAATGTTCGCGGTATCCAAGGAGGGGAAGCTATCAAGGTAGTGACGTCAAATAGTAGCAGTGAGTGGACGCGTCTGACGTCATAAGTCTTATCAAAGAGTCTCTGAAAAGTTATTCAAACAGAAATCATCAACAACCTATCTTAGTCCACTGCTGGACATAGGCCTCTCCAAATGCACGCCACTAAGATCGATCTTGGGATACTCGCATCCAGCTCCTGCCAGCCACCTTGTGCAAATCGTCACTCCATCGCGCCTGAGGACGTCCTACACTACGTTTGCCTAGACGCGGTCTCCACTCCAGAACTCGTCTACCCCAACGGTTATCGGTTCTTTGACAAATATGGCCAGCCCACTGCCACTTCAACTTCCTAATCCGGTGGGCTATGTCGATAACTCTGGTTCTCTGCCGGATTACCTCATTTCTGATGCGATCCTTCAGAGAAACGCCGAGCATAGCCCTTTCCATAGCGCGTTGAGCGACTTTGAACTTGTGGACCAGCCGTACCGTCAGTGTCCACGTCTCGGCTCCGTATGTCATCAAAGGTAGGACGCACTGATTGAAGACTTTCGTCTTTAGACACTGTGGGACCGACGATACGTCGACCGACTGATATCGTCGGTCAAACAGAAATGCTTAATACTTTTTTATATGACGACCTTCGTGGTGGTGTGGTATATACACTGGTTTTAAAGGTGTCGCCTACGCAGAGGTTCCCCGCACCAACTCGAGTCATAGGGTTTCTTAGTACGAAAGCACAGATATCTCCTTTCCTTCAGAGGACCACGCGCGCTGGCCTACGTTGTCACCGTCTAACAGTGGCTACAATTCCAACGCGTACAAAGAAATTTGGTGACTCATTTCTTTGTCGCACTATCCGTAAATGGAATGCTCTGCCCGCTCACGTGTTCCCTCCTTCTTACAACCTGGGATTCTTTAAAAGAGGCGTGAAGAAGCAACATGCAGGCCGGCAGGGTGAGGATGGCTGGTGTGGCAGGTAAAACTGCTGCATCAGCTATCTTCACGTTCGGACTTCACCTTCACTTAACATCAGGTGGGGTGGAGTCGTTTGTCGGACCTATCTATAAAACTTTCACAAACTTTCTTTGGATGCCTTCAATGCGAGATATATAAGTGGAATACCTAGGTTCCAAACCTGAGTTGCATACTCCAGATCACTTCTGACAATATAACGTTTTGAGTATCCTGGCTTGATTAAAGTCTCTGGATTTGCACATAATATACCCAAAGGCCTTAGAGCTTTTCGTCTAAATATTATATTATATTTTAAATTTTACAGCAGTCTGTATTTCCCTAATAGAACACGATGAAGACACAAGTTATAGTCTAATTCATATTTGCACCTATCCAAAAAAAATATCGAGATTCAAATAATTCATTGTTTTCAAAGAGTAATTATCATACCACACATAATGGATTATCTCAACACCACATTATTATATATTTCGTACGGTGACATGCGAAGCGTCTAGGGAGACATTCCTCAAAAATGGGACAGATGGACTCGAGAAGGACGACGTCGGGTCCCGGGGGATAACCGAACTTGCTTATCTTCACGGGCTCGCTTCCAAAGTGGCTGGAATATGCCGCTATCTGATTTGACATATCAGGGAATAAGTCACATCGTTAAGATGCAACTTCATCCAGAATAGTGATGTAACGAATATTCTCATATTTTTGAATATTGGCATTCACATTCGCATTCGCAAAATCTCTGCGAATGTTGTGCGAATATGAATATTAGAAAAAAATCAATTTGAAGAAGTTGTAGTTCTGCCTTTCCTTGAATATTCATTGTTACACAGTTTGCATTTAGCTCGTTCAGCATCGCAAAGTGTGAAATAAGTCCATGTTTCACTAGAATTCGATTTACTCATGTTAATAAATCACTATTACCAATCACTAACCTCAAAATTCACTTGTTTTGTTTACGGAAAGGCGAGCGGAATGACACTTCAGTCGGATGAGTTCATATCAACTCGGCAATTTGAACGAGACTGCCACCATGCCATAGACAATTCGCGCCAATTTAAAAAAAATAAAAATATGCGCATTCGCGAATGTTCAAAAAATGACATTCGTTACATCACTAATCCAGAATATATCTCAAGCGTAACTCAGGCAAATATCTCAAGCATATTAATTATAAATGCTCGCGAACTAAACAATCATATGACCATCTTTTGCAGAAGTTTTCGATACCAAAACTGGAGTTGCGGAGGACGCATTTTGATATATCCTGCTTGTATAATATAATACATAATAATTACGACTGTAATGATTTGACTGACAGTATTACATTTAGAATACCCAGCAGTTCACACCGTATCCGTGAGGTCTACCCACATAAACTATTCTGGCCCGGTTATGTCAATACTAACGCTGGTCTGCGTGCCCCGTTGAACAGATAATGAACACCTTTAATGATAGTTTGAGCTCACTTGATATTGACATTTTCCTGCTCTCAGACACTTCTTTCAAGACCAAAGTAGATCTTTTATCATAATATGTGTATCAGCTATAAGTATAATATGTGTATTACATTGGTACGCCTCGACAAGCTTTTTGTTTCTACTGGATACTTATTTGTGTAGTGTACAACATATTTTTCTTTTAGTATTGAAAAAGAATAATAGAAATATACAAAACAAAATAATCCTAGTATTAATCCGTGGATAATGTTGTTGGTTGTACAATAAGTATAACATAATTGTAAGCCTTTTACTTAACATATATTGTACAACTGTTTGTACCTAATAAAATAAAATAAATAAATAAAGAATTTTCTAATACTAATATTGAAAGTTAAATCTAAATGAGTTTAGGGCATTGTATAGAAAAATTATGTTTATTATACCAACAGAATTAGTGATTGTACTTGTAAACACAGTTTTGTCTTGTAAGCATTTTTTGGTTAACTCCTACAATCGCAGACAATCGAGTGACCATGTGAGGAGTTCTGTTGGTGTTGTTTCCTTTGGTGAGTAAGGGACCAGGGATCCTCAGATTAGGCAATGTATTTCAGGCGGGTATGGCTGGAGCAACTTTTTCTAGTGCACTAGCTATTATCGCTACTAGACACCTGAGACTGGGTCCCCACTTAACATATGATAGAGAGGAGCTCCATGGTGCAACTGGTTAGCGCGTTCAGCTGCGATCGTTGAAGTTAAGCAACTTTCGCAGTGGTCGGTCATTGGATGGGTGACCAAAAAAATTTACTATCTCGAACTCCTCCGTGCTTCGGAAGGCACGTTAAGCCGTTGGTCCCGGCTGCATCTGCAGTCGTTAGTACCCGCCAATCCGCACTGGGCACGCATGGTAGGTCATGGCCCAATCTCCCTATTCCATCCATAGGGAAGGCCTGTACCCCAGCAGTGGGGACATTAATAGGCTGATGATGAGAGGGAGGGGGGGGAGGGTAAAATGCTGGGACTTATTGTATAAAAAAGTGTTATCTTTAAGGCAATGAATTTGAAAGTAACATCGTTGTTGCAGCGGTGATGATCCCCATCCCGCAGTACCCGCTGTTCTCGGGCACGCTGGCGGAGCTGGGCATCACTATGGCGGAGTACTACCTGGATGAAGAGCACGAGTGGGCTCTGTCCAGGTTTGAGCTGGAACGCAGCTGGAGAGAAGCCAGTGAGCAGTGTGCTGTGCGAGCGCTCGTAGTCATTAACCCAGGGAACCCTACTGGACAGGTAATGATCACCATCGTGGAGTATACCTGGATGAAGAGAATGTATGGGTTTTGTTTAGAGTCGAGCTGGAGCGCAGCTGGAGAGTGGCTAGTGAGCAGCGTGCTGTCCGAGCGCTAGAAGTTCTCAACCTGGGAAGTCAACTGGACAGGTAATGATCATCATGGTGGAGTATACTTGGATGAAGAGAATGCATGGGTGCTGTCAAAGCTGAGCTTGAGCGCAGCTGAAGGAAGTTAGTGAGCGGGGTGCTGTGCGAGAGTTAGTAGTCATCAACCCGGGAAACCATAAACTGGATACCTATATTACCACACACTAAACCTAGACTCACCACTACTCAGTCCCAGTGTGGGTTAATGGGTGGGTAACAACTTCTTTCGAAGCTGCCGGGACCAATGTGCCTTCCGAGGTACCGAGGAACATAAAACAATAAAATGGAAGTTGTTCGACAATTGTAAGAAGTAAGACAATAGAGATCACGAACATAGAAAATGCGACTCCATATGAACAAAATATAAACTTCAGTGTTATTAGGTACAATAATTGTTTCCGGCAAACAAAGATTGTACCTTCCATAATATCACAGTTCTCTTCACAATAATATCACAGATCACCAGCTAATTACATAAAGTAATTACCGAAATTACTTCGTCCACGTAAACTTAGAAACATGTCCATAATTTAAGTTAACTTACGTTTGACAAAAAGGATAGTGACTTCAAAGGAAATGTCCCCCCCAGTTTTGTTGGAGAGCAAGAACTGAAGTTTCTTGTTGGCTAATTATAGCATTCCAACTACGAACATTTAATTTTATAAATGGACTGCGTCAAAGAATTAGCAATCTATCTATACTTATAATAAATCTGTAGAGAGGTCAATTCTGTACATGAAATATATTTTCAAAATAACTATCAGGGGGTGATTAGTGATCGATACTGATGCCAAAAATGCAATCAGTAAATTTTTTGTCTGTCTGTGTGTATGTTCCTTATAGAAACAAAAACTACTTGACGGATTTTAACTAAACTTGGTATAATTATTCTTCATACTCCTGGGCAGGTTATAGTATACTATTCATCACGCTACAATCAATAGCAGCAGAGTAGTGAAGGGAAATGTTGGGAAAACGGGAGAAGTTACTCCATTTTTTAAGCTTCCGTCGCGTGTGCAGCCTTAATGGTTAAAGTTACATAGAAATCATGTATGACGGAAATATTCTACATAAAATTGTCTAAAAAATATCCCGCAACAGCATATGTCTATCTTTTATGGTTGACTCACGATAACACGTGTAATTAAAGTCATTGTTTATAGCACAAGCCTGAGAACAAAAACTATAGTTTACATTACAGCTCTACACTGAAGCGAAGCGAGGGCGGGCCACTAGTGTTTCATAAATGAGATAAGCAGCGTCCATTTTAGTTTCATGAATCCCAAATATAAGAAGCCCGAGATCATACTACAATAAATTAACCGATACTTTTTGCTCGTTAAGCATTCTTGATCGTTATGGTTGGGTCATTTTATTATAACAGTTTTCCACCGATTTCACTCAATAGGGGTGATGACGGGGTACAGTAAATGAAATTCTATTTAGTCCGTCAGTTAGATGATCAAAAAATAATGGACAGGTATTTTTTTTTTGGGCAATCAACCAAAAAATGACAAAGTTATAGCGCGTCAAAGTTTGGGAGTAGGGGCTCGTGACGTCACTTTTGAGTGAATTTTCACTTATAAGTGTACTCAAACGTGACGTCATGCGACTTTTCAGATCAATATATCTGTGCAATGTTTATATTATGTAAAAAAAGAAAAAAATACGTGTCGTGTACTTTTTGATAATCTACCTGATAAACGAAAAAAAAAATTAGTCATCATCCCTATTCACGCTACGAATTTCTTGTACTTTTCTGGTTTAGAAGGCTTTAAACATATTATTTCACATAAAAACTAATGACCCATTAAAGTTCCATTTTCTTAGAGTAATACTGCTTTCAGTAGAGAATCTTCTGGTTTTTTGTATGTCAAATCAATTATGGACAAGCTCTAATAAATTTAGGCCTCTTTAAAGAAACATGCAGTAGTTATAGCATTTTGTCAATGTCCATCGAATTGCAAATGTGATTTGAGTAATGTTAACAAACCACTGCTCAACAACACTATAGTACAGTCAATCTGTCGAAAAAAATATCGTTTCAGTGAAAAAAAAACCTTAAGGGTAAGTCTTGTTTTTTCTGTTGCCAAATGACGTCAGTAAGCCACCTTGGCGATGGGCATGTTCAACTCGTAGGCGTTTTTTGAAAAACTCAAAAAAACAGTCAAAAATTTTTTGAAACGCTTTTTTCTTGTTTTGTATGCATTTTAGAAACTTTTTTTTTACCATAATTGTAGAGGGCGTTGAGTGCTACAATTTATGTCATTGTTACAATCTCGTACAACAAAAAATGCGCATTGTAGGTGGCGCTAAAGTCTCAAAAAGTGTTTTTTCACTTTTTCACCCTGAAAATATCATTTTAATGGAAAATTTTAAATGGCAAAGTTGTTTCGTACATAATTACCAACAACTTTTGTATAAACATTTTTTTTGTATTACTTACCGTTTTCAAGTTATACATTGCGCAGGTATGAAAAATCCAATAGAGCGGTTTTGAGCAGTTCACGTACACATTTGCAGTGCACATTTCAATGTACGTTTTACTATTTTTTATTTTTTTTCATGATTGAAAAACAAAAAAAAAGGAAAAAAATAAAAAATAAATGGTTTTATTTCTATTTTTTTTCATGATTGAAAAAAAAATAGTAAAAACGTACATTGAAATGTGCACTGCAAATGTGTACTTGAACTGCCCAAAACCGCTCTATTGGATTTTTCATACCTGCGCAATTTATAACTTGAAAACGGTAAGTAATACAAAAAAAATATTTATACAAAAGTTGTTGGTAATTATGTACGAAACAACTTTGCCATTTAAAGTTTTCCATTAAAATGATATTTTCAGGGTGAAAAAGTGAAAAAACACTTTTTTGAGACTTTAGCGCCACCTACAATGCGCATTTTTTGTTGTACGAGATTGCAACAATGACATAAATTGTAGCACTCAACGCCCTCTACAATTATGGTAAAAAAAAAAAGTTTCTAAAATGCATACAAAACAAGAAAAATGCGTTTCAAAAAAATTTTGACGGTTTTTTTGAGTTTTTCAAAAAACGCCTACGAGTTGAACATGCCCATCGCCAAGGTGGCTTACTGACGTCATTTGGCAACAGAAAAAACAAGACTTACCCTTTAGGTTTTTTTTTCACCACTCAACCTACAGATTGACTGTACTACTAAGCTTATGGTAAGTAGTATGAAAGCACTGTTGCCGACCTCTTTTATAGATTTAGTTTTTATGGTATTTTGAAGTGTTTTTAAAGTGTTGACATTTTTATGATTTTTGCTATCAAAATTGTTATTGTGTGTCATAGTCTTTGCCTGTCATCAGATATAATATTATTTTGTGTTTAACTATAGAATCGTGTTAATAAACCCATTGCGTCCTAAATCCTAGCCTTCATATTCCATTCCACTAGCTCTCCGCTTCGAGCACATTAAATTGTTACACATTTCTACACAACTGTAGTTGCAGCAGAAACTCCTTCATTCCGAATCGTAATACCGGAACGCCGGTGGTACGCGAGCGAGCCCAAAGCAATTATATTACGAGGAAACGAGCTCGTCGCGTGACCTGCCCGCGACCCGGCTAATTCCCACTTTTCATGTTTTACTTATAGTTTTTCCGGCCGGTATCAGCAATCAACACACATGGGAATATTTTTTCTCGCTCTCGAGGAATTCCTATGGCATTAACGCCAAAAAATGGTTATTCTCGAGCTTTTGTTTAAGCAACTAATTCGCTCACGTCATTCCGTCGACGGAGTTGGAATCTGTCTTAGTTGTTGTTACGTACGTAACTCGGGAGTTACCTGCGACTTGGTCGAGGATTAGTGCGTCGGACGTGACAAAAGTTTTGGCTTTATCGCCCTCCAGTACCCTTAGTACGAGTTTGAGCTCACGAAAACTATCATAGTTTTCGTAAATGTAAATTATGTTTCTATGTCCATTTTGGTGAAAAGTAACCAATATACTTGAAATTTAAGAAGACGCAAATGATTTAATGATAGAATTTAAACACTGTTTGTTTGTATTTGTATTCAAAACGAAAACAATAAAATCAGTACCTGCGAGCTCACGAAACTATCATAGTTTTCGTAATTGTAAAACTCGTACTAAGGGTACAGGTGTGGATGTATAATCTGGTTATTGAGAAAACCATACCAAGCTCTAGTTTCAAGATTAATTCAAACCTATCATTTAGGTTAGCTCTAACTATTCCAGTTTTCTTCGCTAATCCATGGACCTAAAGTTGAAGTATAATACTTAACTAATAAATAAAAACGACGATAATAAGTTTATTAGAAGAAGTTTACCGTACTAAGGTAACTTTGATCTATAACGAGGTAAATGAGAAATAGTGTCATATACATAATATTGTGTATTTGCATTGTCTTCTGATAATTTTGAATTGAAATCGCGTTCTTAATGAGATTAACTCTGAACAAGAAGAAACCTTCAAGAATTTAATGTAACCCTACCTACACTTAATCTTTGCACAGAACGTTTTCATAGACCCTCTTCACTTTAAAGGATCTAAACGAAAGATTTTACGAAATCTTCTTGTGTTGATCCGCTGAAAATTTTAGATACTTAAGGAAATGAACGGTTATTGGACCTTTTTGTTTTTAGGGTTCTGTACCCAAGGGTATAAACGGTACCCTCTTGCTGTCACTTTGTCGTCTGTCTGGCCGTATGTCACGGGTCTCAAGATCGCAAACTAAATGAGTTACAGAACTGAAATTTGAGTATTTTATGAAGAATGCTTCCCAAAGCCGAATAATTAATTTGAAAATTCAATTAAATTATTTTTCATGGGGATTCATGGGGATTGCTTTTTTACCCCAGCATGTGACAAGTCATGGTTCAGAGTTCGTTGAGTAGGATAAATTAATTTTTCATTTTCAAAAACAAAGAAATCAATGGATTTATAGTTGTCATTTTTAGACCATTTTTGTTACGGGGTCTATTTCAAAATGAAACTAGTTAGGAATGTGAAATTTTGCTTTATGATGTCCCATATGCTGTATTTAGACAACAAATACTAAAAACGCCTATTTAAAATGAACTTTGTAAGTTGTGACGAAAACAAACAAATGATTTTTCTAAAAAATATTTTTCTAGTAAAATTTTCTTTAGATTTAAACATCTTTCAGTTAAATGCTTAAAGAATAAAAATATAAATGATTTTTCCTTTTGCGGTTGTGTACGGAACCCCCGGAGTGCGAGTCCGACTGGCACTTGGCCGGTTTTTTATGAAATTGATGAAGATTAAATTTTGTAGAGAAAGGAGTTTTGTGAAACTCTGTTTTCTTAGTGTATTCTACTCGGATGTTACAAAACTCTCCGGAGATCATTTAACTCGTCGTCAGTGATTTTGCATAATGCGCTTTTCTTTGAAATTGCTAATTTTTATTCAGGAATTCTTTGTTTTTTTTTCTGAAGTAAGAAATAAGACATCGCCGATATTCATATCGGCTTCCCGTTCCATTGCTCTCCATATTAAAGTGGGTATAAATGGTCAGAATCTGAGGAAAGAGAAGGGGCATCTATCGACGTCCACATGCTACCGGAATATCAATGAGGCGGTGACCGGAACACGCATATATCAAGGCTGACATATAGAAAGGAAGACTTGATACAGCAATTACCATCATTGTGCTATAGTTTCGTGTGGTCTCGATTTATTTGTCCGTGATATAAACCCAAGCTCGCTTCTGAATACTAAAATATCTATGTATATATAGAAGATGGATTTCTGTTTAGTAGAAATAACATTTTCCAATATTAAAAACTCGTCAATAAGGCAAAGATCCGGCAGCGAATCAAAACTGAAACTGAGAAGGTCTCACGATCTCGTGACAGGATGAAATTAAACTGGTTCAGAGGAGGTTCCGGAAGTGATTATGATGTTCGTGGAATCCTTTTAAAAGTGAAATAAAATAGCCCTCTGTCGAAGCTTTTGAATTTTGGTTGTAGGCGACCAACCAAATGATTTTCATCAAAGTCAGACCTGTTGGATAAAGAGCTATTAAACGCTGATCGTTAAAACATTCGATAGTCATTACGGTCTTACGAAAAAGGACATGAGGTTTTTATTTAAAATAACAATATTCTTTATTGTACCTAACATGATTTAAACCTAAATTCACCAGTGTAAAGAATTGATAAGTCAAAGTAGGTCATGTACTTAATTCGTGCTTACTTCAGATCAGCTCAGCTTTTTAAGCGTTTACTCAATTAATTAATTTTCTGATTTAAGTTTACTCAGCTATACAGCGTTTTCAGAGGAAAATTTGCCGAGCCAACAGAAGCCTTAAAATATTGTTTTAACGTAAAACGAATTCATACTTTTACTGGGGCATTAATATTTATTGTGATACCACGTAATATGTAAATGATGGTTGTTATCGCCCCTTGATGTAACAACTTAATTTCACGGCTGCTTATTTGGGGGAAAAGGCGGCGAGCTGTTGATTTATCGTTTGTGTAAACTACCAACGTCGTATAGGTAATGAGTATGTCGTATTTTTCTTTGTTCCATAAATTACGAGATAAACGACCAATTTACGTTACAATTGTGTTAGCACTTTGTTTATTTATTGAAAGCTCAAGCGTGGTTAAAATAACAAAATGATTACCTTAGATTTATCAGTCTTCATTGTTTTAACGACGGAGCGGTTGTTCTGAAGAGTATTGTCGCTTTAATCAGAGCTATATTTTCGTTAGGATTTAACCCTGATGTCTGCATTGTCATCTACATATCTAGTGGTTTGTGTAAGCTAAATGGCCGTCAATCACTTTTAGTTCCTGCGCTTCAGAAAAACTGTTTTATTTTGGAGTTTCACTGAACCTTCTTCATTTCTGTCTTATTTAAATCAATCTTAAATATTTTTTGCATCTATTTCAATTTTTTTTATTCTATATTTTTTAGTATTGTACCGTGTATGCGTGGCAGAAATCCGCCACTTCCACAGACGGGGTTTGTTGACATTGGCAGAAATCCGCCACTTCCACAGACGGGGTTTTTTGACATTGACAGAAATCTGCCATTTACACGGAGCACCAGGTGTTTAATTCGGCTACTTTATTATATTTTGTAAATTGTATCGTTTTCTTCTCAGGTGTTGAGCCGTGAAAATATGGAAGAGATAATAAAGTTCGCTTACGAGCGCGGATTATTCCTGCTCGCTGACGAGGTTTACCAGGAGAACATTGTTTCCAAGCCCTTCTATTCCTTCAAAAGGGTATGTGACATATAACGAATGTAGTACACACATACATATTGTCTTGCGTAGCCCATAAAACGACAACATTTCAATTGAAATTTCGGATTTATTGTTGATTCAGTAGATAAAGCTTACTAATGAGTCTACCGTGGAGATCTGAAGCCTTCTGAGTAGAAATATTCTCCGTATAAGAACTAGGGTATTTTATTATTGCTTGCATTTAAAGTTGCTAAAATTAACTGTTTGTCTGAAATCCAGTGACCTATAAAAGTTCTTCTGTGATCCACAGCAATATTTAGGAAAATATGATTCTTATACAGTTTATAGGGTAATCATTAGTATTTAGTTAGTAATGTGAAACCATTTTTGAAATTAGTCCGGTAGTTTGCGAGTTTATTCTTCACAAAGACACAAAAATAGAATACTCTTTATAATAATAACTAGCAAACCCAGCGAACTCCATTTCGCCACCAGATAGCTTCGTTTTATGTAACATTTCGTTTTGTGATTAAAAGAAAACGATTTTTTTTTGAATTTTTCCTGAATTTTCTTTGCTATAAACCTCACGAAGCCCGAGACCTTTCCAACGAATGCAAAACCGTGGAAATCGGTTCGTGCGTTCTGGAGTTATAGCGTCAGGAAGGAAAACCTGACTTATTTTTATATAGTAGAAGATTAGCAAAGATTTCTATACTTTGTTTAGTTCTTTCTGTCCATCTAGAAATGATTAGATTGGATTTTAGATTAGATTCTGTTTAGTTTGAGACTAAATAATTTGCTGTAAGTGAGCTGAGCCAAGAAGTTATTAGGGTCACTTGCACGCACATTCTTTTCAACATAATCATTTCATCTTTACTAATTATTTAAAATAAATAGTTATAAAATGAGTAATAAACATTATTAGCTGCACAATTTGATTTAAGAATGTGCAGCATTGTGCCCACATGCACAATTTGTGCATGTGGGCTTGACAGTTGAGGCTAGAGAGTTGTTCGTGATTTAGGTACGGATATGTCAAAGTTTGTTGTTGGGGGTGGGTGCAGTTTCTTTATAATCTGCGTGTCGGTCGCAGGTGATGCACGAGATGGGCGCGCCGTATAATCGCATGGAGCTGGCGAGCTTCGTGACATGCTCGAAGGGGTGGGCGGCGGAGTGCGGGCTGCGCTCCGGCTACGTGGAACTAGTACGGCTGCAGGCGCGCGTGCGGGCCGCGCTACAAGCCGCGCGCGGGGTCATGCAGTGCCCTACTGTGCTGGGGCAGTGCGTGCTGGACTGCGTGGTGAGTATATTGCTCTAGGGGCGAGCGATGCTGGTGCGACTGCTGCGGTCTAAGCTGTTACAAGCACTTGTGAAAGTCAAGAAGAAAAAGAAAAAGCAAAGAAACTACGGTGGGTGACCTTGTACTGAGAAGAACCGGCAACAAACTCAGCATGGGCTGCTTTTGTTCTCCCTGTATCATTATATTCAGAGTCGTCGGGTTGAAAAATGAGTTCAGAGATAATTCTGAAATATACAATAAGTTGAATAGTGATCTTTCGATTTTAGTAGGTATGTAGAAAGCGGCTTAAGAAAGCCGAAAAATGCCACATTATTGTTATGAAAAATGTCTATTACCATTACAGTAAAAGAAACACTTTGTCCACGCATTACGTTCATTAAGATAATCATTAATTTTATAAAAGCCCTTACTCATAAGAATTCTGGATCTGAGATTTAAATTTGGTCAGAGGAAGCTCAATCAGTAAATATTTCCAAGATCTGACATAAGACATCAATTTATGATGTTTCTACCTAACACCTATGGGGATATCGAACGTGATGACTTCCAGACCGAGTAGATTTGTTAAGTTTCAATTTGGCTGCCTGCTTTCAAGCTCATCATTGTTTAGGTGCTTTGGCTACATTTTCTTAAGTTCATAAAAATTGTTATCAGATGAAACCGCCAGCGCCGGGTGAGCCATCCTACCCTCAGTTCGCCGCAGAAGTGTCGGAAGTTCAGCGAACGCTACGTGAGCGCACTGCAGACGCGTATCACACTTTCAACCAGATCCCGGGATACTCGTGCAACCCTATTGACGTGAGTTTATGATGTTTAAGCTACCTTTAAACGGTAAACATAGTGTGGGACGCCCTGAGACAAGATGGGATGATGACATTCGTAGGCTGGCTGGAGTGGGCTGGAAGAGAGTGGCAGAAAACCAGAAGCAGTGGCGTGCATTAGGAGAGACCTATGTCCAGCAGTGGACTAGCATGGGTCGATGATGATGATGATGAAGCTACCTTTATTAATCCATCGATTACAAAATATCTAAATAGATAATAAAGCCGTTTTAAGTACTTGGAATCGTAGGTCAAGTTTAATATGTATAGTATATTAGTAATTTCGAAAAGTACTGTGATTGGTTCATTAATTTCTCTGTTATGTTCACAGTTACAATAATTTTGGATCATAGGTTTTATTTAGCTTTTTATTATCGAACATTAAAAGCCTCCACAAATTGCTGATTGAAGTCAGTGTAGCCTTAATTGAACAGATGGTAATTAGGCCACCATTAGTCTCTATTAGCTACTTTATGTCAATTTGTTAACTGCTCCTGCTAGAATTTATTTTTCCAGTCCTGTTATAACCTAACGTTTTTCATTAAGAGATGGGTACGTATTTCATAACTCATTATAACCTAAATATGTATATCTGTAGGGCTCTATGTTTGCGTTTCCTCGCGTGGAAATACCTGAGCGCGCACAACAAGCGGCGCGAGAACTGAACATGGCGCCTGATGATTTCTATTGTCTGCGACTGCTGGAGGAAACCGGTTAGTATCAACTTACTTTTGAAATTCCTGCTATTTGCAACTATAACGTAGTAGTGTCTTTGAAGTAAAAAATAATTGATCATTTTTAGTACTCTTCGAGCGCATTTTGGAAACTGAAGAAAGTCCCTTAATTACTTATTAATTTATATTTATCTATTTCTAAAGTTTGTAGCTAAATCATTGATTGTGTTCCATTATATTACTAACAGGACATGGTAGAACTTACGTTGGACTCAAAATCAAAAAGGAGTAGAGTGATCAGATGGTTAGGGTATCTTTATCTTTGTCACACTCAAGATCGAAAGAGTACTTGTCTTTAAGTCTTCTTCTAGACAAATAAAGATAAATCGCAACTTTCACTTATTAACTAATTTGGTTGAAAATAATTTAATCTGCTCTTCTAAATAAAAAAAACACTATCTTATTGTTAACTGATAATATTAATGTGATGAAAGTTGTCATCTTCCAACTGACGACACTGTATGAAACAAAACGTGAGGGAGAAAAAAATAGCCCTTGCTGAGTTTCTTGCTGGTTCTGCGCAGTACAAGAGGTTTCTTAACGAAACGATGGCATAGCGTTTGACTTGCACAAGATATTGTAGCAGCCTAGACTGAATTAATGAGTAAGGGTTTGAATTGAACATAGTCTCCGCATTCCACCAGGTGTATGCGTGGTCCCGGGCAGCGGGTTCGGCCAGCGCCCCGGCACGTTCCACTTCCGCACCACGATCCTGCACACGCGCGACGAGTTCCGCCACATGCTGCTCTCCTTCGCGCGCTTCCACCGCGCCTTCTTGCAGCAGTACGGTGATGAACGAGCAATGACCGTAGACATGTAGCTTACTTAGACGACCTCATAGTTTATTGTTTTTAGTTTTAAGTCCTAGATTAAAGTTTGTATGTGAATGGATAAAGGAAAGATATGAGTGTCAAGCTTCAGGCAAATTCTATTACCGCACGACATCCTGTACAGGCGAGATTAATTCTGCCACATGCTGTGCTCCATTCCACATTTATACCACGCCTTCATGCAGCAATTCCACAGAATAAATAGTAGTACAAAATACGGCGATCCACGAGCAATCATTGAAGACTGGCAGTTTACCTAGATGGCATCATAATTTATTGTTTTTAGATGTAAGCCATGGATTAAATTCGATGTGCATTATAGCTCATACTATTTTATTGTTTAAGTTATAAATCATAGATTAAAGTTTGGGTCTGAATTCATTTAGGGAATCAGTGTCAAGTTTCAGTCAGGGTAGCTACACACAATCGAGCCGGCATAGTCGGTTCGGCAGTAATTACTGCCGAACATTCATCTACACATATTTGATTTTACCGCCCGGTTATGGCGATTAATGCTGGCCCGATTATGTGAGTAGCTACCCTTACAAACTTATGTCCAATAATATGCAAAAGTTACCTATGAGTAATCTGAATCATAATCGTATAAGGCTTATAAACCTTTGGCGACATCCACAAGTTCTAATAACAGAATTGAATTTACTGAAATACTAAATATTTGTGTGTGGAATACACAATTATGATTTTAGAGAATTTTTTAGAATACTTTTGTTAAAACTAATAAGCTTTAGAAACAGCTGCAAATAAATTGTATAAAAGACAAATACATGCATTTGATATGCATGAGCAAAAGTAACTAGAGATTACGTAGCTCTAAAAATCCTGTTATTAGTACTGTCCTATTATTAGTGGCGGAGGTTTACATGACGTTATTGAGTTAGGGCGCGAGAGAGGTTCGTTAAGTCTCCTCTCCGTAGCCTCTAATTAAATATCGCAGCTTCACAGAAAGCATGTTCACACGTTCCACACTTATTAATTAGAATGTACGCGTCTTAGTAAGATTGTTATTATTTAATTATTAATTAATTATTCTGTGGTCTGCCTTTTGAACGTACCGTGGTTGTGTGTTGGAAGAATTTTGAAAAGATTTGTAATTGAAGTTGTATTAATATTTATTGACGGTTCTAAATGACTAGGCGAAGTCGTAATAAATCAGGTGTTTTTTCTTTGTTTCCTTTGTAGTTAAATCTGAGAAACACTAAAATGTAATTCACTATTCACTAATGGCGCGATTATACTTGGTCGTTAGCCCGAATACGAGTGCCAATGGAATTCGGGTAAACGACTATTTGAAAATGAATGAAGCCGAGTACACCCATTTACAGAAATTTACATTTACGTAACTGAAAAATTATGTAACTGTTAGCCAAAAAGTTTGGTTACAGATTGCTTTGTTAATTGCACTATAGAAATTGTTTTGTGAATATACAGGACAAATGAAAATTATATAAACTTACCTTATACAGGCCGTCCCACGGGCATGCCACACGAAGGGAAAGTATATTAAATATTGAAGAAAGGATATTTTACTTATATATAATTCTTATGATTAAGCCTTTTGACGGTTATCATAAAATACGTCATGTTTTTTTTTCGCATTTCACGAGTTTGATTCCCGGTTGTGTCAGGCGATTTAAAAAAAAAACTGTGAATGCAGTTCTTCTTATTATAAAAATATAACGATATCTTATTTCTGTAAAATATGGTACATTTCCATTTGCCCGATACCGTCTTCCAGCCCGTATTACAGTGTAAATATTGCTTCGGGTGCCTATATTCGAGTAATGTTTTACGTGTACCCGAATACAGGTTAGCGACCAAATGTAATTGCTTCATTACTTAATTCGGAATCTACCTAGGCGAGAGAGAAAAAAATGTCTTTATTTTTTATTAGCTGTGCCCCGCGGTGCTACCCGCGGTTTATTATTTATTTACCTCCGTGGCTGAGTGGTTTGTACGCCGGGTTTCATGGTGTCACCGACTCGAGAGGTCCCGGGTTCGAACCCCGATGGGGGCAGATGTTTGTGTGATGAATACGAGCAGTTGTACTCCAGTCATGGATGTTTATTATGTATTTCTTTAAAAAAATATATACTTATATATGTACAGTATATGTATTCTATCCGTTACCCTAGTATCCTATAACTCAAGCCTTGTAGTGCTTACTTTGGGGCTAGGTTAATTGGTGTGAGTGTTGGAAATCTTTATTTATTTATAAGGGATATATTCTCACAGTAAAACGTAGCTTTTGTGTTAAACCAGGGTGTTAGCAAAGTCCATAACAAATTTTATTTAAATCGCTCCAACCGTTTAGACGTGAAGAAGTAACAAACATACACACTCACAAACTGTCGCCTTTATAAGATTAGTGTGATGTTAAAAGGATGGCATACAAGCTTAAGGCCCGCCTGATGGTGACCGGCCACCATGGCTTATAGACTTGCTATACCAACAATATATACGAGCATTTGTACTCCAGTCATGGATGTTTAATATGTATTTCTATATAAATATACTTTTATATGTACAGTGTATGTATTCTATCCGTTACCCTAGCATCCCATAACACAAGCCTTACAGTGCTTACTTTGGGGCTAGGCTAATTGGTGTGTGAGTGTTGGAAATATTTATTTATTTTATTTAATATCACTCACACCGTTTTCTACCCTGACCCAACCCCCTGCCCTGTTATTCGCCGATCTTAATAATAAATAATAATAATAATAAATATTTCCAACACACACACCAATTAGCCTAGCCCCAAAGTAAGCACTGTAGGCTTGTATTATGAGATACTAGGGTAACGGATAGAATACATAAACTGATACATATATAAGTATATTTATACAGAACTACATATTAAACATCCATGACTGGAGTACAAATGCTCGTATTCATCACACAAACATCTGCCCCCACCGGGATTCGAGCCCGGGACCTCTCGAGATGGCTACACCTTGAAACCCGGCGTATAAACCACTCGGCCAAGGAGGTCGTCAATAATCAACTCAAAAAATAATAATCAACTATATTATTTAATTTCATTAGGGTATTTGACAAGTTTTAGAAAACGATCTCACGTTATTGACTAATGTTTATGGAGTCCGTAAAAAGTAGATATTTATCATTCTGTTGTGAATTTCAGTAAAAATAACCTAATCAAAAATTTCATTTTCAAGTTGCCGCGAAAACGTTTTTCTGGACAATGTCTCACTAGTGTGTGACGTCACAGGACTGTTATTAAAGCGTCAAACGATACAATGTAATGTCACTTTAACCGGAAGTTTACTTGCGTGTGACGTCATTTTAGGCTCTGCCAATCCCAAGCGTTTTGGTTCACGTGACAATAGATAAGAAAACTATTAGCTTTTTCGTGGGTTTTTAGTAAAATTATGAATATTTTTTTGGTAAAAATAGTAAACACCCCTGCCAATATTCATTCTAAACACAGATGCTAACAATTGGTACTTTATTTTTAATACTGTCAAATACCCTATTGTATATTTGTATTGTGTTGCGGCGTAAGCTAAACAGTTTGATTGATGGCATGTCATGCGTTAGTAATCTAACAACGGTTTCTTGATTGTTGCCAATTACCCGGCATTATGCTCTATTACATGATTTACCATCTGATTTACTGGCAAGAATATAATATAATATTAAGGTTAATGATGTCTTTATAAATATATATGTAGTTATTGGTAACCTAGTTATTATATTGCGTTTATATGATGTATTAATTTATACCTTGAAACACGTTTCGTATTGCCTGAAATAAACTATAGTCACATTTTTAAGCAGCTAATTAATGTTATAAACAAATTAAAGTTGTGTTATGAGTAAGATTTGTTAATTCATTATTAATAAATGAAGGGCATGACTTTTTTATTTTCCTATTGTCAATAAGCAGTCTATTTGTTTAAATTATTAATATTTTTATAAGTATTACTATTGTTATTGTGAAATAGACGTTGATACAAATATACATTATATAAAAATGAATTATTGTACCTATGTTGTTTCTTTTTTACTTTTCTTCCCCTTGTTTATCTATTATCTATTAGACAAGTCCGTCTGTCTGTGGTGCTGTTTCAGCGGCCAAACCGTAAGAGATAGATAAAGAGAATATTTAAGTTATAAGTTAAGAATAGTCTGATAAGACTACAAACCGGATTTGAGTAACGTAGCACTTCCTGTTTTCGAGAAATCAGGTTTTGGTGAACATTTGGTTCACTGGTTTGCTAGTTTATTTACTAATTTAGTAAATACAATACACAATAATAAACACACATACAGAAACAGGAGATTTGTACAAGGGAACCGCTTATTACATATTGAAATTTCCTTCAGCAGGCTTGCGAAAGGAGGCTTATCTGATAAACGAAAAAAAGATTTCGTTGATTTGGTAGGATGTACGAGTATCACTCATGCATAATGCAATTACCAAGAATATTTAACAACGAGCTTACGAAAGGGAATAAGAAGCAGTAACTGGATATACAATATTTCCCGCTAATTTCGACAATGTTAAAGCTAATTATTGTAAGATTCCTATTTTTTTTTTATCTCCGATAAATGACTCCACCCCACCTGATGTTAAGTGAAGGTGAAGTCCAGACGCGAAGATAGCTGATACAGTAGTTCTACCTGCCACACCAGCCATCCTCACCCTGCCGGCCTGCAAGTTGCTTCTTCACGCCTCTTTTAAAGGATCCCAGGTTGTAAGAGGAAGGGAACACGTGAGCGGGCAGAAAAGTTCTATGTGAGAAAGTCTCGGATATTTGAGGTTTTTAATACGTTACTTATAGGGATTGCAATCCCGCAGCTCATTCAATCCCGCGTGATTGAAGTGTGTGAGTACTCAATCCGGCGCGGGAATCATTTTCGAAATTATTTTGTGAATTGAAATTATAGATTTTTGTGTAAAAATCAACTTTTATTTCACATTTCTTATATTGAGCAACAGAAATTGTTTATTTTATATTAGTCAAGTATAAGTAGTTATGTTTTTATTTATTTTTTAAGCATTTAACTGCTAGATGTTTAAATCTAAAGAAAAGTTTTACTAGAAAAAAAACATCCACGCGGACCAGGCAGCGGACGGGACTCGAACCCGCACCTTTCGCAATCCGGGCGAATGCACTGACCATTATGCTACCACGGCCCTATTCGCCACGTTGAAATTTTCCTAGCCTTAAGCTGCAAGGCAGCGCCATCTCTTCGCATTGTAGGTAACCCACAATGTCAAATGAATACTTTTTCAAGTATTTTTGAAAGAAGAAATACCAATTATAGTTATGTTTTTATTTATTTTTTAAGCATTTAACTGCTAGATGTTTAAATCTAAAGAAAAGTTTTACTAGAAAAAAATCCACGCGGACCAGGCAACGGACGGGACTCGAACCCGGACCTTTCGCAATCCGGGCGAATGCACTGACTATTATGCTACCACGGCCCTATTCGCCGCGTCGAAATTTTCCTAGCCTTAAGCTGCAAGGCAGCGCCGTGCCTGCTGAAAAACGCATCCCGCGGGCGTTCGCGCCGGATGCCGAAAACACCCGCGCGCGTGAATCGCGCCGTGAAATAGCTTTACCTACAATTTCGCATTCTATGCTAGTTGCTGCTCCGCAGCCTCGGCGGGCGCGGGAGAAAATCACGCAGTGAGTTCTTAGCCTAAGTGTGAGAAAGACGAAGCGATTGGGAGGCCCATAGTTCGTCAATAGCAGTGTTTCCTAACCTTTCCAATACTGCTGCCCCTGTAACCTATTAGGAAAACAGATTTACCCCGACTTTAAAATGTTATCATCAGTACAAGAAATTCCAAAGTGGCCGCTACATCTTCGTCTATAATAATGTCATCATCAGGAGTAAATCTCGCCCCGCGTCCCACACTCAGCACCCCGCGGGCTCTATTTAGTAGTATTATTATATAGTATTTTCTTATTATTTAGATTTGACCAATAATTAGGTTCTTTGTTACCCCCGAAGTATGGCTGATTTACCCCCGGAGGGGTAATTACCCCCAGGTTCGGAACCCAGGGTCTATAGTATCTATTGGTTGTTGTTTGTCTCTTTCTAGAGAGTTGTTAACTTTGATTCCTAGCGTCTATATCTATGGCACCTATCTTAGCCATGTTCGTGGTTTGTTTTCACAATAGTTCGCTGTAGCACAGTTGGAAGGTGTCGCAAAGCATGCCCAGTTGGTCGCTGCGGGCGCGCTGGATCTCACCCCTTAGGTATTTGCCCAATTTGCGTTTAATCTGAGAATCATCACTGCGGTTCTGGACCTGAAATTTGTAAAATGGTATCTATATACTGTGTTTCCAATAAAGTTGGTGTACATCTTTTGTATGTCTTCGGTTCGTAGTGGAGAGATAACAGTATCTCAAACACGAAATTTGACAGATCCGTACCATTGGGGCACCTCCTTAGCACGAACCAATATCGAATTTGAATAGTTCAATGCGATCTCGATACATGTCAAATGTCAAGAAGTTTGGTATGAAAGATTTTAATAATTTGGCTTTTCTTTTTATGACATTACTGTAAAAAAAACTAAACACTATCAATTGTTCGTATCTATCGAGATAGTGGTTGTTAAGTGGTCTACCCACATGACAACCACTCTATTTACAGATAGAAACTACTGAAGACACGAAAACCCGAACGAAATAATAACTATGTATTTATTACTCAATAACTTTTGCATTTCAAGACTCTACTCTTCGTAGTGACATGACATTTTCCACAGAACACAAAAAGAGGTTTGAAGGGTAATCATAGATCGTTTGTATGAGAATTAACGTCGCCGACTCGCCTCCACTACACTTCCACCGAAAAGATAATAGCCAATTAAACGACGCGACATCAAACAATTGCACCAATCAGCGCTTACATAGAAAAGCAACGACGCAATCAGAACCAAGTGTTGGTCAAGTTATGAGCATTTCTTCAAACATAACTGTGGCGCGCCCACAAGACCCTTCTAACCCCTTTCTGTGTTCTGAGGTATTTCCCATTGATATAGATATATTCGTATCAGGACAGGAATAATTCTATAAATACGCTGAGATTTTTTTTTATCACGACAGGAATGATTCAATAAATACCCTGAGATATTCGTATCACGACAGGAATGATTCTATAAATACGCTGAGATATTCGTATCACGACAGGAATGATTCTATAAATACGCTGAGATATTCGTATCACGACAGGAATGATTCTATAAATACCCTGAGATATTCGTATCACGACAGGAATGATTCAATAAATACCCTGAGATATTCGTATCACGACAGGAATGATTCTATAAATACGCTGAGATATTTGTATCACGACAGGAATGATTCAATAAATACCCTGAGATATTCGTATTTCGACAGGAATGATTCTATAAATACGCTGAGATATTTGTATCACGACAGGAACGATTCAATAAATACCCTGAGATATTCGTATCACGACAGGAATGATTCAATAAATACCCTGAGATATTCGTATCACGACAGGAATGATTCAATAAATACCCTGAGATATTCGTACCCTGAGATATTCGTCCATGCATTTCACGGTGGCATTCTGTAGGCTCAGGAGTGAGTAGTCAAGCAGCTCGCCCCACAGGCTCTTCAGCTGCAGCTGGTGATCGCAGGGGTCGCGGGGAGGCGTCATGCTGTCCAACGTACGGTTGTAGAACTGCCTGCTCAGACAAATAAATAAATATTTCCAACACTCACACCACTAGCCTAACCCCAAAGTAAGCACTGTAAGGCTTCTGTTATGGGTTGTTAGTGTTACGGATAGAACACATTTACTGATAGATATATAAATACATTTTATTTAGAAATAAATGCACGTATTCATTATCATACTAACTTTACCGCAATGCAGCATTCATATGATACTAAACAAAGGACATTGTTCAGCGTCCATACATAGTTAGCCTAAGAACCAACAATCATGAAATATTATTTTCTAGGTTCAAAATCGTAAGTATGTGACTGTAAAAACAAAGATTATTGACGGACACTTCTGAGAACTTAAATTATTAGGAAAACTAAATTTTTTTGAGGTTATGTTTAATATTCAATGAAACGTAGATCAACCTATGAATTTAGTATGAACTCAGTATGAAGTGAATTAATATTACAACAAATTCATTTTATTCGGTGCGATTTTAAAGAATAACTATTAGGAAAAACTTGGTTCATCATGAATAAAATAAAAACTGTAGTTTTGCTTCTTATTTATTGACTATTTTTCACATAATTGTATCATATTGTTTATTGTATTTATTTGTATATCACATGTATATTGTGTAAATATGCAGCGTGAATGTGTATCAGATATTCCTGAATAATTTGGCAGTATGATCCTCTCAGGATGTTGTGGCACAGGTTCACTAGCACTTGGTAATAAGGGCTCTGCACTTTGGTAACATCGATGGCATATTAGATAGCCGAAATAGTTAAATTAAAGGCAAAACAATCGCAAATAAATACACACAACAGGTAATCCGAAACGAGAATGCACTTTCCGGTATAATAATCTACTCTTTGGAATGCACGAATGCCACAGATTACTACGAATGCAAACTGCATGCACCACAACCACAGAGTAACAAGTTTTATGCCGGCCCTTCACTTGACAACAGTTTATCCTTGTCATGCTTAATAAGGAATGAAAAGGACGGACTGATGTCATGTTTTAAAATATCAAATACGAATAGCCAAGTGAAGTGCCGGCATTAGGAAGAAAGAGTGTTTTGTTTGCAGCGCTGCCATAGATTATACACATAAAATAGTATTTATTGTCTCAGATTATTGTTTAACTTTTTAATTAAGCTTACTTAACTGGAAGTGTCCGTCACAATCTAAATAGTGATAATTATCGCAAAAAATATACTAAGAATTATCATAAATGCCAAATTGGTGTTGGTTCTTAGGCCAATTTTAACATTGTCCTTTTGTTTGTTAGTATATCCGCTGCAAAGTCACTATTGTCATTGTTTTACGATTTTACCGGATTATATTATTATTTATTTATTTTTAATATTCAAAGTCTACACCATAGATGAATGATTGGTCTCGCTTCAGTGTAGCGAGACCAATCATTTATTTATTAGTACGCTTATACTATATAACAGCTATTCAAACAAGGTTAATATGAAAAGGCTTCGTCACCTAATCGATTAAGTTTTTACTATTAATAAATTAATAAATAAATTTCGATAATATTTACGATTTTTTTAAATATATGTTTTATATTCGATATAGCTTGACTACCTACCAGTATAACGAGGAATGAATACGTTTTTTGCCAAACAAGCGTATGGCCCATCTGATGGTAAGCGGCCACCATAGCCTTTAGACACGCGATACCAAATATATCTAGCGCCGTTGCTTACCCTGGCCCAATATCCTACCCCGTAGAGCCCTGGACAACACATTACTGTGATCCTGTGTAAGGTGGTTTGCCTATTAGGTTACTTCCCCAGGCGGGCGTTCCAATTGGAACGTTAAATCCGCTATGCCCTACCTCTCTTCAAAATACGGCATAAACTTAGAACGTATTGTGGCGACTGGATTCCGAGAATGCTGACTTGATATAAACGTCGACGCGCGGTCCGCGGTGACGCGAGCCAGTTGCACATAACCACCGATCCCGTCAGGTTCATTCTTAAGTCATTGTAATAGTACGCATAACAGTTAGAAAATAGACAGTATAATTTGGTGTCAGAGTAATTTAGATGAACATTAGTGAAGTGAATAAACAGTCAGTGATTAACTATAACAGCTTTTATTTACCAGACTCTAACCTTAGGTAAAGTGGCAACAATATAAGCCAACAGTGATATATGCCAAAGTATTTTTATATCAGTAACCTGTATTGCTGCGTCATGTTTGCGAAGACTTCCCCGAAGAAGTGGTGGCTCTTGTTGTCGATCACTCGGTACCGTTTGTTAACGATCTTTGTTGTTCCAGTTCCATGGTGCACTAGCTTATGGGCTCGCATGAAAATCTATCAACAAACGTTAATATTTATTTATTGGAGAGCCATTTTTAACATTTGGGTGGAGTGGAATTAGTTGCAAGTCTTTCTGTAACAAACGTTGCATATCCCACATATAAGATGCAAGTCGCCGATTTTTTTGTATTGGTTACATTTTAAACTTTTTTCATATTTATTTTGCAAAGTTCTAATTCCTGAGTATTGATAAGTGGTAGTTGCCAGTACCTAATAACTGTTTTATGCATTTCGCAGTGCATGCGCCTTAGATATTGCAGTATAATTTTAGTTATATGCAGCTAAATGTTTTAGGGTGCTACGTCTTTTTTTGTATTTGGCTTCATACATCTAATTAACTATTCAGTCTTTTCTTTTTTATGAAAAAAATCTTCCTAAGGTTGAAAATCAGCGCAGCTGTGGTATCGAAAAACTACTACCACAGTAATATAGCTGAGACAGCGCCAGCGACCTGTTGGCACTGCACAGCACTACCTTAAATTAGTTTTCTCGTTTTTATTTTTATTTGTAACAGTAAATTTAATTATAATAATATGTAAAAAAAACAAAACAGAATAGAAAAAACATACACTTAATGTAAATAACACTATTTGTATTTATACTGTATGACACAGCAATCAAAATGCAGGTAAAAAATTAATGTATATTTAATAATTATGTAATGAAAGATAACTTCAGGAATCATCTCTGAAGTTATTTTTCAACTTGACGACTCTGTAAATAATAAAACAGGGAGAAAAAAACAGCCCTTGCTGAGTTTCTTGCCGGTTCTTCTCAGTACAAGGTGTCCCACCATAGATTTACGAACCGATGGAGTAGATTCTAGACATTCATGAGTGCTTGTAACAGCCTAAACTGAATAAATTATTTTGATTATGATATATATTTTCGATTCTGTTTTGCTTTCAATGTATGCTGTGTAACCAAAAAATGTTTTCTTCCTTTCTTTCTTACCTTGGTGAGTTCGTTCATCATATTGCTGAGCATAGCGTCTGTTTGATTCCGCTCGGGGTACTGGTATATACATTCCAGCATCGGCGGTGGTGTCGCGATCTTGATACGTTTTTGTTTCTTCACTGTCACATTTCCTCGCTTGTCGTCTCTTTCTTCATGCGCCCTCAAGTTTCCCACCTCTATGCCTTTCAACTCAATCGACAACATCCCATCCACTTTAAAGCGAAAAGCACTGTACGCTCTCAAAAACGCAAGCAAAAACAACGCTATTTTACGGCATTTGAAACTCATTTTAAAACCAGAGCAATGCGGCAGTTAAAAGTGTACTCTAAAGAAGTGCTGATAACACGCATAGGTATAGAGGTGAGTGAAGTTTTATTACTTCACATGGGATTGCAGTGGATATTGTGCCGTTAACGTAAACATTTGCTCTTTGAACAAATGGAGGCCGTATAATATTTCATGGGATAATAACTTTTTGAGGAATCTCGACGGATTTCCGGAAAGATGGTAGGTAGCTACATTATACTTAAGATTATTCATAAAAGTAAAACTGAATTGTTTTCGCATGTAGGACAAATTTTATACACGAAACTAAATGTATATACGAATGGTAGTATGGTAAAGAAAATGTCACTTCCGCACCATAGGCGATGAGGAGGTGACTAAACACCTCGAGCATCTTCAATTACAATGTGACGTGGCGTCACTAAGCGCGTTCTATCTTCTGTACAACGGCGAGTGTTCTGAGGAGTTATTCTCTCTTATTCCACCTTCCCTTTTTCTTCAGAGGATCACGCACGCTGGCCTTCCTTGTCACCGTCTAACTATGGCCACAATTCCAACGCGTACAATAAAATTGTGTAGATTTCTTTGTCGCACTATCCGTAAATGGAATGCTCTGCCTGCTCACGTGTTCCCTCCTTCTTACAACCTGGGGTCCTTTAAAAGAGGCGTGAAGAAGCAACATGCAGTCCGGCAGGGCGAGGATGGCTAGTGTGGCAGGTAGAACTGCTGTACCAGCTATCTTCACGTCTGCACTTCACCGTCACTTAACATCAGGTGGGGTGGAGTCATTTGTCAGACCTACCTATCTATAAAAAAATGTGAAGGGTTTGAGAACTTCTTATACGCTTAAAGTCTTACCCTTAAATTGGTGGGTGGGTACTTAACCTATACAATCAATACGCTATAAAGTGAATCAGAAATAATAATTATAGTTACAGTCGGATAAATCCAATCTTGTGCAATAGAATTTGTATTATGTTCAGAATTATTATCACCTAAATTGGCCAATCATTCGTCATCTACCTTATTTGATTTAGTTCAGTTCTTGCCTGTATCGTCAGCCGGAGATAACTGGTCACAATTTAACTTGTTTACCGGCCTGTTGCTTCTTGCGGCAAGTTGTAAGTGGCGACGAGACTCCGAGGTAGCCGCCCGCTAACTTAATTCTGTCTCGTGATGTGATAAGACACCGACCGTCGACGAAATTATAACAATAATCTTGTTGACATGGTAGCTTTGGGTAGAAACTACTTTGGACATGACTCGCGGAATGTTACAGGAGCAAAAACTGTAGAAAATTTTGGGACTCTTGAATAGTTTTTAGTTTTTTTTCTTTTCAGTAGAGGATGTGGTAAATGTTCTCCACTCCAAACGGGTATTTAAATTTTTGTACGCTCATACACATATTATTATTTGACTTGTCTCTTTAAAATTGTTCTCGATTATTTTTTAATAAGCTTCGAACTAAGCTCTCTTAAGTTAAAGACAACGGGAGGTTACAAACTTTTATTGTCAACTAGCGGCCCTCCCTCGCTTCGTCGGTGTAGAGCTGAAGTGTAGACTACAGTTTTTGTTCTCAGGCTTGTATTATACACAATGACATTCATCTATGATTCTTCTTATACCTGCATGCAAAGTCTCAGCCCGATCGGTTTAAAATTGACAAAGTTTCATACAAACTTTCATTCCCTATTTTATCCCCTTGGGGGTAGAACTGATCAAAATCCTTTCTTAGCGGATGCCTACGTCATAACATCTACCTGCATGCCAAATTTCAGCCCGATCCGTCCAGTGGTTTGGGCTGTGCGTTGATAGATCACTATGTCAGTCAGTCACCATTGAGTTTTATATATATATAGAAGATTGTAAGTTAAGATAAGGTACTCGTAAGTATAACTTTTTAGAAACATTAATCAGATGTGTTTGCAAATTTTGTTATTATTAAATTGAAAGGTGTGGATTGAAAGGCTCAAGTATCGTATATATTTAAGGTATTAGTATATATTTTAGGTATCCTTCCTTATCTATATCTATATACTTATAATAAATTTGTAGAGATGTCAATTCTGTACATGAAATATATTTTTAAAATAACTATCAGGGGGTGATTAGTGATTGATACTGATGCCAAAAATGCAATCAGTAAAATTTTTGTCTGTCTGTCTGTCTGTGTGTATGTTCCTTATAGAAACAAAAACTACTCAACGGATTTTAACGAAACTTGGTACAATTATTCTTCATACTCCTGGGCAGGTTATAGTATACTTTTTATCACGCTACAATCAATAGCAGCAGAGTAGTGAAGGGAAATGTTTACTCCATTTTTTAAGCTTCCGTCGCGTGTGCAGCCTTAATGGTTAAAGTTACATAGAAATCATCTATGGCGGAAATATTCTACATAAAATTGTCTAAAAATATCCAGCAGCAGCATATGTCTATCTTTTATGGTTGACTCACAATAACACGTGTAATTATATAAAATAAGTCATTGTTTATAGCACAAGCCTGAGAACAAAAACTATAGTATAGGCCACTAGTAAGTAAATATTTTAGGTATCACACCTTTCAAGGCAGGCAGAGGTTTGATATCATACAATTAGGTGTCCGGTTCATGTCATCATCTCAATAAAAAGGGTCACCTCAAAAGCTATCTTCAGAATACTTAGTATAAGTATATGTCAGTGTGCGAAATATATTAGAAAACAGCTTTTGATAAATTCTTTCTGTTACGGCAAAAGATTGGCTAATGGACGGAAGCCCGGATTTACATTTTCCGAGTTCAAAGTACATTTAATACCTTATTAAAAGGAAATCGGGATTAGGAAATGTACGTCCTTCTCTGCTCACGCGTACGTAACACCCTTTCCTTTGATCCCCCATAAAAAAACCTTTTCGGCGAACACAGTACCGATCATCAGCTTATGTGACCTAAATAACAGTACTTATACCTATAATTTTTATTATTTTAAAGCATGTAACTGCTTGATGTTTAAATCTAAAGAAAATATAACTAGAATAAAATCCGGACGGTAGCATAATTGGTCAGTGCATTCGCCCGGATTGCGAAGGGTGCGGGTTCGAGTCCCGTCTGCTGCCTGGTCCGCGTGGATTTTTTTCTAGTTATATTTTCTTTAGTACGTATACCTGCCTACCAAAGTTTAAAGAAAATTAACTTTTCGTGTCCATATTACAATTTACCAGAAGCCCTTTTCAAGATCATAGATACCTTGTTCATAACTTTAAGATCTGCACTGTGGTTCTTAAGTACTTTCGTAATATTTTCATTAAGTGGTTCCCAGAGAATTATATTATTACAGTAAGTAAGGAAAATTACTTGTTTAGTATTACGTGCTTAAGTTAAGGGTTCGGTTAGGATACGAACTCATAACGCCTGATAAATTTGACACGGCAATTTCGCTATGCGCTTGCCGGGAATTGGGAAATAAATTTGCATAACACATTTTATAAAGAGACTTTGTTTTTTTTTTATTAACATTGTGGTCCTTAAGAGTTCGTATTCATTGTAACATAGAAGGTTAGCGTTTTATGTTCTAAAATCTTAATTATTTCTTAAATTACAGACCTATGTTTCGAAATCCTCTTGAATAATTAACTAGGTACTGCGGCGATCTACCTGAGGGGTAGATCCTGGGGGCGTAGTTTATTAAATGGAAAGCAACTTATATCTCTTATCTATTAGACAAGTCCGTCCGTCCGCCCGTCTGTGGTGCTGTTTCAGCGGCCAAACCGTAAGAGATAGATAAAGAGAATGTTTAAGTTATAAGTTAAGAATAGTCTGATAAGACTACAAACCGGTTTTGAGTAACGTAGCAATTCCGGTTTTCGAGAAATCACGAATTTCAAACGAAACCACACAAAATCTCCGAAGTTCTCAATTAATTAAATACATTTTTTTTTGTTTTTTTTTTAAATCAGGATTTGGTGAACATTTGGTTCACTGGTTTGCTAGTTGAGTTTAATCTATTAACGCATGGTTTGGTGCCTGAAGTCTATCTCTTGAAATCTTCTATCAAACGACAGAGGATACCTAATTTAAAATCTTAAAATCATGACATTACCTTTTTAATATAACTGCCAGCCGTAGGCATTACATGAACAAAGAGTTTACCCAAACAAGGAGGCTGTAACGCAACGGACGTTACAGTACCTACAATAGGCTAGTTGACCCTTTTTGGAAAAAGGTTTTAAATTGTTCATAAATGTTCTATTAGACCGAAAAAAAATGTATTGTATTTTTTTTAAACCTAGAAAGCTACAAATCTTTAATTTTAAAATAGACTTTTCATGGACATACAAAAACGCTGTCGGCCATTTTAGTCTATAGATTATCTATGCTATGACGTGAACTGTGGTAAACAAAAACTCGTAAACACGTAGAAAATTACTTAAAACTGAGTTTATAATAAAAAAAAACATGATTTCTAATAAATACCACGAAAAATAAAGTAATTATCATTACTGTATTGTACGAGAATATAAAAACACATCCTTGAAGACTCCAGGAATGTTGTGGATTAAAGTGCCGAAAGAAATTAACCTACGCAACTTTATTACACTTATTCATATGTTGTATCAGTTTTATGTTTATTACTACATTGTAATACTAAATGCACTGTACTTACATAGATGCCTTGTCGTTTCTCTGCTCCGCAGAGCAGAAATCGGGGTTTAGTGCAACAAATTCACCAACCATCAATGCGTCAATTCTTGGCAGATTTGTGCTTTCTGCTTTCACAAAGCCGGCATCCATAATTAGTTTTGACAAAAAAAACTAAGTTTACTGTTTTTTTCTTTCCTAAAGTTAAAAGTGTTTTAAGATAAATTTAGTCAGACGAAAGAATCCACCTACAGTAACACGCGAATGACATTTAGTTGTTTACCACAAGAGACGTCAAAATCATGGCGGATGTGGCGAACAGCGTTTTTAGTGTTTAAAAAATATAGACTAAGAAATATTTTTTATAATTAAATTTCTACAGCAATCTTCTGCTTTTATGAAGTGAAATCGATATATTAAGGTTCCTTAGACTAAATACTTTAAGAAATAAACATTTATTTAATACAATTCGACATGAGTAAACTAGCCTATTTTATATATTTTATCCTACGAATGGAGAGAATAAAATATACATAATGCCAAGTTGTGTTCCATTCAACTCTTATGTTCTTTTTAAAAATGAAATAGTTTTTAATAATGTAGAGTAG